TTATAAATATCTCTCACGCCTTCAATATTTACATTTTAGGTGGATTTATACGTAATTGCATTTGCAAGTACTAGTGTTTCAAATGAATTCGTATGAATTTTCCCGAAAAATTAGAAAGTTTTCGGTGAAAATGAGGTCAAAATGCGAAGTTTTAGACGCTCAAACCGCTCGAAATCCATGTTCTAAAAGAAACGGCTCCAAATTTGTCAAAGAACATTTATATTTAGAACGTTTTACTCTTGTACAATATTACTAAAGTTTTGGTAATCCAATTCTACAATTAGTTGACGGAGAAATTGAGCAAATGTGAAAAGATTAATATTACGTGAAAGTAAACTAAACCATTGCATGAAGTGATTTGTGCTGTAAATATTTGTTTCTACATTTATTTTTGAAGAATTAGTGAATTTTTGGAACATTTTCGATTACTGTAAGCGTAGCTGCAAGATCTTAATTCTAAAATTAATTTTTAATTAGATCGCTGGTGAGGTAGATACGAGTTAATTAAATTCGGTAATAAAACCTTTGTTTCTCATATTTAAAATAAATTTGTTTGCATTTTTGCTATGAACAAGAATGGCTTCAAAAACCTTCAGATGCATAGATATAATTTACAAAGCACATTAATGGTTACGTTTGCTTACAAAGGTCTGATTTAGTTCGATGGCGTGATTTATTATTTTGAGTAAACGGCACAATGATTAGACACTTAAGAGTTGTGACATTATTAACTCGTTTGAACAGTAAAATTGTGAAAATTTGCTACTAGGTTTTTTACTGTCCAATTGTCATATTATTTATCTCAACCGTAATTTCTATTGGAAAATCAACATTACGATATTAATTAATATTTTAATAAAAACTTGTCATTTTGTACAGTGATTGGTCGGAAAGAATAGTGATTGGCCAGCATTATGACAGTGATTGGCCACTGAATTAATTTTAACAGCAACATTTTAAGTATTACGATATATTTAATTAATTATTATATTACTCATGAAAACAATTTCTATATGGAGATTAAATGTAATTTTAATATTTTATATATGTGTTGTTAGGGTATCGACTATGCTCGATTTTCAAATCTGAGCATATTCGAATCAATTCGTATGTCAGATATGTCTTCTGGCCATCTACGAACAGAATCACATTTAAAAACTAGTAATGCTAAAGAATGGCACAGACGTTCCCGTATTAAGTTTTCTATTTCCTTTGGTCTTGGCTTGCCACATACACTTCCAGCTGCCATCTATCACCGCCCAAAGTACATTCTTTTGACGATTTCTTTATTTTCGTTTTTCTAATTGTAGAACGAAAATATTTTTTAATATTACCTAAGAACAGTAAAATCTTTTCCTAAATGGCAACTTTCTTTGAAAAATTTGGTGCGGTTTTGGAAAATCTGACGTTTATGCGCTACTGTAAATTCGATATTTGATGCTTTTCTTCACAGAAAATTTTTGATTTTTCGAAAAACTTCATTTGAAGTAATTTTAAGTTCTTTAATTCACAAATACAATAGTGTTTACAAATTGCTGAAATGTTCATATCAACGGCGAGATCTTTGAAAAACTTTACATTCATGTAATTAAAAAAAACACTGAAATAATTTATACGTTATATTAAAGAGTGGAATTAGCACTATCCGTTATAAATGTTTGAAGAAAAAGTTAGGAGCTGTTTTTGAGAAAATGGCGTTGGAACGTATCAGAAAATGCGGAATTTTGAGCTATCTTTCACAGAAAACGGTAGAGTTTTTGAGAAACATTATAAGAAAATATTTAAATCACATTTACTCATAAATACAATAATGTGAACAAATTGCCGACATTATAAATATTAACGGCATGAGAGAAGTCAAAAAATTACACTTTTGTAATTTTTCAAAAACACAAAGAATATAGCAATATGATGTTTATGCCATCTTATAGAATATATTAAGCAGTGTACCTGCCAAAAGTTTAAAGAAAAACTTTGGAGCCATTTTTCAGAAAATCGTGTTTTTGCAATGTTTTTAAAAATTGCACGTTTTGCACGTAAGATTGCGGGAAAACTACTAAAATGTACATGGCCTTCGTGAGAGAACTCACTATGGAAAACAAATTTTATTTGACGGAAAAAACTCTATCTTTAATTTTGTTTGTTTAATAAAGTTGTAGAAACACACCGGAAAAAATCATACTTTTGAAATTTAAAAAAAATCAGAGTTAACTGTGAAAATCGGACCTTTGAAACTTTTATGAGCGTACGTTACTCCGTTCTTAGGCGAAATTGAATGTTATTCTATTCTCACAAGAAATTTAAGGAAAACAATTGAAGGTGATTCTTAAAAAAATTTGAAAATGTCTGGAGAGCTTCATGAAAAGTACCGCCAAATTTTGAAGAATGTTTTTCAAAATCTCAAAGTTTCGACTCGAGCCAAGTGGACGGGTTTCTTCAATTTGGAAAAAAGTGTGCGTATGGTTTAGGCGCTAGTAATGTTGACGCACAGACGGGCAAAGGGGCAGGCGGAAAAAAAACACTTTTCGGTATCAGGGGATCCCAAAACGTGTATTTCCGTCGAAATCTCGAATTAGATTATCGGCATATTACGTATATTATACCGTCTATACGTACGTATACGGGAAAGTAAAAAT